TCGTGGAAAGATTATTCACATATCTTGCTTGGTTACCAAGCCTTTACATTTTAAATTCCCATTTTTTATAGTAAAAACCAATAAAATTGACAACTTTAAACTTTTATAAAATTTTTTTTTACTAATATAAATGAAAAAAACTCTCTGATAGGCTATTAATTGAGTGTTTGGAAATAGAATTGCGAAATATTATTTACACAACTTGTTTGGTTATTGAGCCTTTAGGTTTTAAAGTTTATCTAAATTTCCATCATTAATAGTAAAATCAAACAAAATTGATAACTTTGAACCTTCACAAAAAATTTTTTTTACTAATATAAATGAAAAAAACTCTCTGATCAGTCATTAATTGAGTGTTTTTAAACAAAATCGCGGAAGGGTTGTTCTCACAGCTAGTTTGGTTATTGAGCCTTTACATTTTAAAGTTTATCTAAATTTCCATCATTAATAGTAAAATCAACAAAATTGATAACTTTGAACCTTCACAAAAAATTTTTTTACTAATATAAATGAAAAAAACTCTCTGACCAGTCATTAATTGAGTGTTTTTAAACAAAATCGCGGAAGGGTTGTTCTCACAGCTAGTTTGGTTATTGAGCCTTTACATTTTAAAGTTTATCTAAATTTCCATCATTAATAGTAAAATCAACAAAATTGATAACTTTGAACCTTCACAAAAAATTTTTTTACTAATATAAATGAAAAAAACTCTCTGACCAGTCATTAATTGAGTGTTTTTAAACAAAATCGCGGAAGGGTTATTCTCACAGCTAGTTTGATTATTGAGCCTTTACGTTTTAAAGTTTATCTAAATTTCCATCGTTAATAGTAAAATCAACAAAATTGATAACTTTGAACCTTCACAAAAATTTTTTTACTAATATAAATGAAAAACTCTCTGACAGGCCCTTAATTGAGCATCTGAAAATACAATCACGGAAGTATTATTCCAACAGCTTGCTTGGTTATCAAGCCTTTACGTTTTAAAGTTTAAATAAATCTTTGATTATTTACTATAATGTTTTGATGATATATATATGTGTAACATTAAAAAATCCGCACATAGTAATTTTCTATATTGACCTGAACTATGTTTGATGATCAACCATTGTGAC